ACTTGGGAGGCAGCGACGATTTGGCACCTTCAACCACCTTCACATTAATCACATCTGCTGTTATGAAGGACAGCTGTAACTAGTTAGAGCTTTGTAAAGAATGTGTAGATTTAACAGGTCTYCTAGTTTGTTTGGTTTTTGCTGTTTTTAATAGAGAGCTCTTCTCCTAAGCTGCTATAAAGGGTATTGCAATGACATCTTGTTCTGGCCCAGAATTGGGTGGGTTTTTTTTTTTTGTGCTTACTCTAATTAGTATTTTCTCTGCACTTTTTTTTTATGCCTCTTTTTTGCCTTTTTTTTCTTAAAATCAGGGTGGTGTTAACATTTGACATTAAACTGCATTTCTAGATGGTTTATAAACTAGTATGACATTCTCCAAGATTGGTTTCTGTATCATGGTTTTTGCCACATACTGCATGCTTGTCAGAATTTCTCACTGTCTCCATTTGAATGTCATTATTTTAAGTAACTGACAAATGACAGATGGAGAGCCACCAAGCATTACCAATTTGGTAGCACTCTTATCAGGTGCAGTTKTAGTTATTGTCCTTATAGTAGTATATTCTTCCAACAGAAGTCGTGTTTCGGATGAGACCTGTAATGAGGCAATTCCGTTTTGTGCAAAAGTGAGTTGAAGAACAGAAATATGACCTCTTTCCTCTTACCAATTATAACTATAGCAGAGAGGCTACAGACAAAAGTTTTATTGGAACAGAAGGATCAATTAGAATAAAGCAATGGTCAAAAGTCTCCATTTCAGTTCTCAAATTAATCACAGGTTTCTGCCCTTTAATTCAACCTGAAGCTCTGCTGTTTTAGGCATACTACCAAGGCATACCATTTAGCTCCTGCAATCCTATCTGCCTCGAGACCGTGAGACACTCAGTTTCTGATTCTCATTTTATTATCTGCTTTGTATGAAGCAAGTTCTACCCACACAGCCTATGTGTATTTACATCACACTGCTCCTTCTTTCTTYCCAGTGGTGCCAGGTCTCAGAGCTATTCCATGCTTCTGACCCCTGTTCCAGCACATTTCAAAACTTGAATTGTGAATCTGCTTTTATCTTAGCAAGTTTGTAATGTCCATTCTCTTCCCAGTCATTGCCACTTTTTGCCAAGTTTGCCTGTCTTATGTCAAGCTTGCATGTGTGTTTGATAATAGATGTTTTTAATGTTATTTGCAGAAATAATGCATTATTTACCAAGATAGAATATTTGAGTAGACTGACTTCAGGTGGTTCTATGTCTAAGTGTCATGGTTTAACCCCAATCAACCCCAAGCCCCAAGCAGCTGTGCACTCACTCCTGCCCCAGCAGGATCAGGGAGAGAATTGGAAGGATAAAGGCCAAAAAACTCATGGGTTGAAATAAAGACAGTTTATTAGAGAAAGCAAATGCTGTGCACAACAGCAAAACAAAACAAGGAATTAATCCAGTGCTTCTGATGGGCAGGCAGGTGTTCACTCATCTCCAGGAAAGCCAGGCCTCATCAGATRTGACAGTAACTTGGGAAGACAAACACCGTAACTCCAACCATCTCCCCCATCCTCCTTCTCCCCACTTCATGTACTGGCCATGATGTCACATGGTCTGGAATGTCCCTTTGGCCAGCTGATGTCACCTGTCCAGCTGTGTCTCCTCCCAACCTCCTGTGCACCCCCAACTCCCTCATCAGCATGGAAGTACAAAAAGCAGAAAAGGCCTTGGCTCTGTGTGARCTCTGCTCAGCAATAACAAAAACATCTCTGTACTGTCAACCCTGTGTTCAGCACAAATCCAAGACACAGTCYTGTATTAGCCACCGTGAAGAAAGTTAGCTCTACCCCAACCTCAGCCAGCATAGTAACTTAAAATTTCTCACTAAAGTGTGGCTGTGCACTGTTCTGTTGTTYAGTTCACTTTGCAGAGCCTCAGTTGGACACTGAAGGAAGGAGAATGTTCCTATAGAAAGTAGTAGTACATTCTTGCACAAAAAAAAAATGGACTGCAAAATAATACAAGTAGCAGGAGTATGTCAAAATAAAGATACACAAATCTAGTATCTAATTAAACATCCAGGGGATGGGAAGAGGAAAGGAAAGGGTATTCTTGCTTGTAAAGTCAGTTGACATTTCTGGAGTTTTATTTTCTCTATTGTCTATATTTCTGTAAGGTTTTATATACTGGAAGTTCTTGAGGAAAAATAAATTGAGCATGGGCTGTGCCAAAAAAAACCCAAAACCAGAAAATCAAAAAAACTGTAAGCAGAAAAATGAGATAKAGGAGGTGAATGTCATATTGTATGTTTGTTAGCTGCTGTCTATCATTGTGAAGTATTTTGCTGTAAAAAAAATCTGGTTATTCCATATGGATTGGCCTGTATATACTTAAAAGCTTTCTTTAAATATTTGAATTAAAGGGCACCAGATGTTGCTCAGAAGCTGCTGCTGCTTTCTGARCTTCATGGTATATTCTTTCAAAACCCACAGGAAGTAGCTGAGGGGAAAAAGTATATTAATTAAGTTCAGAAATAGATTTTCCAGCTATAGGAAAATCTCCAAAGAAAATAGCATATGATCTTCAGAAATGTGAGCTTTCTGTCCCAAGAATCTGGTGGCATCATGCAGCACTGTCACATGGGGATCAAAATTCAGATTTCAAGTTCTTAGAGCTTAGGCTAGCCTGAAAATAAGCCAGTCTGAGGCCCTTGGAAATGGACCCATCTTTTGACCTGTGCCCTCTGGCCAGTGTTCATAGTTCTGTAGACAGTCTTCAGAGAAAACATTTTTCCAGTTTTTCTGACCTGAGGAAATAATGTTATAGTAGCAGAAAATTGAGGGGAGAGTACTAGAATTCCCAGATGCTCTACACTTCAAACATGAAATATGGCTGGAAATAGAGTATATTATATAAGCTCTAAAACTATGGCAAAAGAATTACAGAGTGGGATTTGGTTTGCACTGTTGAGGAAGAGGATTTATGGTTTGCAAACCAATGAAATGTTTCTGTATGTAGAAGTAGTGACTGCTGTATTTGTAGCACCTTCTTTTGCTCTGTCTCCTTCAGAGCAAATCTCTGAGAGTGACTCTCCTACAGTAGCAGTTGGTGAGAAGTGTCCCATCTATCTTGATGGAATGAAAATGTAACTGTTTATAGTTGGTGTGGTTGTGTGGGAAGAAAAATGGAAATGCAAATAAGGAGCATTCACCACCAAGCATTCTTACTTGGATCACATCAGCTGCTTTAAACATGGATTGCAGATGTATTGGGTAGCATTTGTGTTGTGGTGGTTTGATGCTAGCCAGCAGCTGCTCACTCATCCCACCCCCACAGAATGGGGAGAGCATCCCAAGAGCAGAAGTCAGAAAAACTTCTATCTTGAGATAAAGACAGTTCAATGAGTGAATCAAAACTGTATGATACAAAGAAAGGAGAACAAGAAATTWATTCACTACTTGCCATCAACAGGCAGATGTTTAGCTACATCCCAGAGAGGAGCGCCTCACATTCCATAATGGTTACTTGGGAAGATAAAGGTCATAACCACAAACATCCTCCCCATACCTTTTCCTCACCTGAACCTTTTATTGCTAAGCATGACTTAGAAGGGACTCGATATCTTTTGGGTCCATGAGGATCACCTGCACCAGGAGTGTTTCTTGCCTGTTGTGGAGGCAGTGTGAGAATTAGAGAAGGCCTTGATGCTCTGCAAGCACTGCTCAGCAGTAGCTGAAACGTTGGTGTGTTACCAACTCTAAAATGTTTTACTCACAAATCTGAAACACAGCWCCATATTGTCTGCTGTGGAGAATTTAACTCAATCCCAGAGTAGAACCAGCACCACTTCTACTCCTTATTCTCTACCAGGTAACACCTGTGGCTTGAGCTCCATCTGCTGTGGTGATTGCTCAGGGCAGGAGTGGCAGCGTGTTCTGCTTAGTTGATGGCACCAAAACCGGCTTAAGCTGGGTCATAGGGCATTTGTCTGATTCTTTAGGAATATCATCATCTCTTGGTTCTGGTGGCTTCTGCTATGATWCTTCCTGTAGCATAAAGCTCAAATCACAGATCGAAATAATTTGCACTTGTATCCATTGCAGTACCACTAKGAGGAGCAGAGAAAGGTATGGTTTTTCCACTCTCTCCCAGAGAATTCCACTGTAAGCTTTAAGAAATCTTCCTGCTAAATTTGTGTTTTACAAATGTGTTACACCTACTTTTCCTCCTTTCAAAAAGAAGAAAAGAAAGAAAGAAACAAACAGSGAACCAACCATGCACACAAAACGCAGAAGACAAAGCTGTCTTTGGACAAGTCTTAGATACTTTTCATTTTGTTGTTCAAGCAGAGTGATAAGAACCTGAAAATGAGAGCTTTTACAAAGTGTAATACCTGTGATTTCAAGTGTATAAAACAAGGAATGGAAGCAATTCCTTCTTTTCTCTTTTTTTTTTTTTCTTATATTAAATCAAGAAGATCATGTTTCTTCTTTGAATCAGTTTGTAGAGTTCTACTATTTATTTGTCTTTATGGTCAAGTTAGACCTTGCCTTTGAGCCACATTTTATGTGTGTTCCTTTAATGTCTGTTGTGTCACTTTGCCAACTTCTTGCAAGCTATTGCATTCCTTCAAAGCAGATGCCTTCTACCAGTAAGATGTTCTTTATTCAGGGGGTTCATGAATTTTCCTTCTCTTGTACAAAATAGTAAATGTAAAATCAGTGAACAATGTGGCTGGTATGCTTTAAAAAACATAAATCATGTTATTCCTGTTTTGTACTTGAGAAATACAGTATATTGTACATCTGCTACATTTCTGTCAATGTTTAGGCTGTCAGATTTTTCTGCATTTAGAATGACAATAATGCATGAAAAATAAAATGTTGTTATAATGTCAAACACTTTCCTCTTGTTCAGTTTGTGTTGTAGAATCGCATTAGTATGCATTGTAGCATAACTGACACAGACCTGTGTAAGTTGACTGTTTYATTGACTTCATGCCTTTGAATTTTTCTTGTGCAGCCAGATTGYACTGCAGCTGAGCGGGCCATGGCAAGACTTGCAACACATCCCACCTTGAAGCCCCGATTTGTTGAACTTAAAGGTATGAAATATTTTATTGAATTGTTTATTACATCTRTAACTTACTGGTGCGTTACCTTGTTCACTTATATTTCTGACATGAACAAAAGTAAAAACCCCACAAAAAAACTGAAAGCTTCTGTTATTAGCCTAACTAGATGTAGTGAATCATATGCCACAAACTTGAAACATTTATATTTACTGAAATGGGCAAATATATGGCAGTATGCAATCTGACATTTATTTAATATAGGGTTTCGAACAAACAAAGTTTATAAAGGGAATTCTAAAAATCAAATAGATGTAATGGGATATTTCTAAATTAAATAGTAACATAAAAGGATCATTACAACTGGATTTTCAAAGGCAACTAATCGGTTTTACAAATTACTTTCTTAATCTTCCCTGAAAATTGTCCCCAGCATCCTTAGGGTATTTTATGTGGTTATTTAGGTTTTCTCTTGTTCTCTTGAAACTGGAATTTTCCATCTAAAATTGATGTTAAAAAGTGTCAAGTCCTAGTAGTAATGTCACAAAGTTRCTTCATTGATAATAGAGCATATCAGAGAAACCATTTAATTATGTATGAGCTATGTAATATTAGTTTGCAGTTTATGCACAAAGAAGTGCCCTAACTGAACATGATTATCACGTGCAGATTATTTTTTGAAAGAGCGGTTTACGGTTCAACCCAAATTTTATAGTGTATATGAAACTTCATTGTGATAATAACTTCAAAGTTTTTTCCTCACTTTTGTTTATGCAGTACTCTAAGGTATTTTTTGCCCCATGTGTTCAGTAAATGATTGATAAGGACATTCAAATTATACTTACTCAAGCTAAATATATAACTTCCAAAAATGTTTTATTATACGAAAATAACTTACATAAATTCATGTGTAGCTACAACAAATATTTTTCTGCCCCTTGTACAGCTGCTGTTAAAGCTTTTAAGGATGCAAGAAAGAACCCAGACCATGCCACTCATGTGAAAAAGGGTAAGTCAGAAGAACAGCCTAAATCAGCACAACATTCCAATAACAACTTGGATGACCAAGCTCCTAAGCTGGCTCAAAATGAGCAAGGATGTAAACTCAAAACAAAACCAAGCATGAAAATAGAAACTGACAAAGTGGTTGAAGAACTCTGTGGAAGTGAATCTGAGCAGAAAACTGTGGAAATAGAGAGAGCAGATGCTCCAGAAGAATCTTTATTTCAGGCAGTAGACATGCAAGACGTTACTCAAAACAAAACAGGAAAGAAACTTGACTTTGAAAAAAGGAAAGAAAATATGAGTATGAACAAATTAAATGCAATAAAAGAAATAATGGATGATAGTGATCAAGAGCATCCCAATGAAAAGGAATACTTTGATGATAGTACTGAAGAGAGGTTTTATAATGAGTCATCAGATTCTGAGAGTGACAGCAATGATGATTTTTTTATTGGCAAAGTGAAAAAAAAGAAAAAAGTAGCAGCAATTGATAATKTTTCTTCAACAAAAGAAAAGGGTAGTCTTCAGAAAAACACAATAAAGACAGAAAAGAGCACAGTGCCTGGGGCATCACAAGATTTGATCATGGAAGAAAGAAAGCCACATGCAAAAGCAAGCAAGCTGGAATCAGTGTTCTGCAGTTCTTTGTCTACCTCCAKTCAAAAATCTCAGAACAGAAGGTAAACATTTTCCCCATGCTTTGCTCTCCATTCCCTCCCTCCTTCACAGTGGAAATGTTTGTGATTTTCAGTAGCCCTTACTAAACAAAGAGGATTTCAGCCCTTTAAACCTTAGACCATTTTCACAGAAACTATGCACCAGTCTTAAGCTTTCTTGATAAAAACCTATTTTTATGTTAACATTAGCACTGACGTATGTATAGGATTCCTAACTAACTTACACCCAGATTCAATCACTTCTGAATACTTGTCTTTCTACTTCTTTCTTAACACAGGTGGAGCAATATTTAAGAGGGTTGCATGTTATATTTGGAAAGTTATTGCATTAATGTTTTGGTGATGATGATTCTTTTTTCACAGGTGTTTGTAATCTTACAAGTTTCTTKAAAAATCTTAATTTCTCTTTTTATTTTCAGAAATACTAAAGATCAGCCTCTCAAAAACGAAAAAACAGGTATGTCTTACTTAACCTGATAAAATTACAAGAGAAAAACCATTTTTAAATTTTGTTGCCTCTGGAGGCTGTTCATGATGGGGAGGGTACTTTGTTTCTTTTTCATTTTGTGGCACATATTTTAACATTTGCTGTTAAAATGGTCAAATCATTGAGCTTTCATTTTAATTTGTGGATATTGTCTGCTATTTTCTATTTTTTCATATTAGAAATACTTAACATAAGGTTTACACGGGGAAGTGATTTTCTGTCAAGCAGTTACGTGTTCACGGGTGAAGGTACTAGATAATTATATGTAACTAGTACCTTATCTCAAGTAATTTCTTTGATAGTTCCTGAATATGGAATATTTTATTCCTTGTATAGTGTGTGGTACTATCTTGGAATTCATTGGATCAAGRATATAATTTCAGTCATATTTGAGTTATATTGTGTAACACTCATTGATTTATTGTAAAGAAAAAAGTTTAGACTGTGCCGAATATTTGTCTACACTAATTTTGAGTGTAGTCAATAATAATAAATCTTAAATATCTTTAGTCTACCAAGTGGCATTTTGCTGGGATGCCACAAGATGGAAGAAATCTTGCTGTGAATACTCACATGACTGTGTTCCCTATGACTTGTGAAATTTTTGGACATATATACAATCCCAAAGTAGTTTGCATACTTTTATGAAGGTTCATGATGTAGTTAATATTTTGTCTTACACCCATACAGGTTTTTTTAAAAATGAAACAAAACTSAAGAAGAAACCATTTGCAAAATCTTCAGGGGATATTAAATGCAACAATAAGAAAGCATGTGTGGAGCAGCCTCTTCATCCTTCATGGGAAGCAAGCAGGAGACGCAGAGAGCAAATGTCTCAAATTACAGCATTCCAGGGGAAAAAGATTAAATTTGATGACTAGACTATATGTAAATGGAGGATTAAAAAAAAAGGGGATTGCAAATGCTGTTTGATCACATTCATGGTACTGTCAGTATCCTTTGCAACCTATACAATTGCAACTGCTATTATTTACCATGTTAGAAAAAGCAAGATTGATTCATTCATTCTGTGTGCTGTTAGTTCATTAATTTAATGACCATCTRCTGTTGATTCATAAGTCTCATTACGTAGTGCCAGCATTCATGAAATACACCCTAATGTGAATGTAGGGTTTTTAGGAACATAATTTGTGCCCTGTAGGAATAGTACAGATTCTTTGGAGGGTTGGGGGTTTTTTTTGGCTGGGGGGGTGTTTTGGTTTTTTGTATGTGAAAAACTGTACTTTATATGAGAATTTGSTTGTCAAAAGATAAGTTCTATATTGTCAAATCTCAGCTGAGACAGAATAAAAGATTCTTAAATTTGAAGAGAAAATTACAAATTCATCAATTTATCAGGTAGCGGGAAAACCCAATCAATTGTAAGCACAATATGGAAATTTCTGGAAATAATAAAATACTGTGCTTTTAAATTGTGATCTCTATCCCCTGATTATATTGTCAATTTGAAGAACTGAAAGGGTGTCTTTAATACATGGTTCTGGTAGATAATCTTTGGATTCTTCAACACTTGTCTCTCGCACTTTCTGAAAGAATGTGAAAAAACTTCGTACACATTTGACTTTTGAGTGCCAGTCTGACATAGGGAGTTCGTTTGATTGATACATATAGAAAAAGGGCTTCATTGAATATTTCTTTGGGTGCCTTTCCTACTGCTTAATTGAAACAAATTTTGAACTTGTAATTGATCGTTGTGTCATTTATTTAAACACAATTGCCTTTCACAATCAAATTAATTCATAAACTTGGTAAATGACTGCACTTTACTATTCATGTAGCATTTTGAGATGCCTCAGGAAATCCCTATGTCAGACCAAATGTTCAGCTACCCTAGAATCTTCAAAAGTGATCAAAAAAGGATGCTTTAAGGATAGAGAGACCACACAATGATACATTATGTACCATCTCTGCAAACTTTCTGTTTTACAGATGAACGATATCTTGTATTGTAGCTTATGATTTTTAACAATCCTCYATGGATTTCCTTTCTTCAGATTTGTCTGCTCTTAAATCCATGCAAACTTGCAGAATATGTCATCCCTTGAGGTGTACATGGCCTTCCTACATGTTACAGTCMTACAAAACCCAATTTTTATCTCAGCCAAAGCCAGCAGCCTCCTGAGCTGCATTAGAAAATGTTGCCATCAGTATAAGGTAGGTGATCCTTGCCCTGAACTAAGCACGGATAAGGCTCCATCTGAAGTGCTGGAAGCAGCTCTGGTCTCCCCAGAACACAGGTGCCCGGAAGGATTGTGGAGTCCCYCTTGGAGTCATTTAGAATTTGACTGAGTCATTCCTGGGTAGCTGTTTCAAGGTGGCCCTGCTTGGTCAGTAGGTTTGAACTAAATTATATTTAGAGGTCTCTTCCTACCTCATCTACTTCTGACCACTGGGGAGTTACTGTAAATATCTAAAATATGTAATCATTCTGTAATACCACAGTGTATTCCACTTGGGATGGCATTAGAGTCAACTGGCAGGAGCAACTTTATTTTTTAAAATGGGGTGTTGTTCCCTTGCTGGTATGGCCACTTCTGTCTCCCTTTCCTGCACGGAGTGAGGGGACAATACCTGCCCATTGTCCCATCCTGTGTTAAGGTGGTCCATTCTGTATTAATATCTAGGTWTGTTTTGCCCCACTTGGTTAGACTTTATTTTCTATATTCTGAATAAATGCCACTCTATGTAGTACTGTCTTGAATGGTGTTGCCTCCCAGAAGATTGAGAAATTCGAACAACCTTCCATTTCCAAGTGAGTTTTGTTGCTGTTATTTTCATTGTACCATATGGAATAGTATTTAAGGCCAAAAACTTCAAAATAAAGCACAGAAACATGTTTACTGTGRTTTTGTAGGATTATATTTCACAGAAAAAAGCCATGCATTTACCGACTTCATACAAACTTCAAGATTTCCAGATGCAAATGTTAATCCTAATACTTTAAAATAAAATAAGTAAATAAATCCTAGGTGAATGCCATACACCTTGCTTGGTATGAATGCCATACCAAGCAAGGGTTTGTTATGTGACTTCTCTGGTTCCAATACAAGGCAAAAGAAATTTCTTTTGGTAGATGTCATCAGCTATAATAGTTTTTCATGGACAGCTTACCTTTCTTTTAGCAGATGAATACCTATTTTAAAGATCAAAAACATAAAGACTGCAAATAGTTTGGAAAGAACCCAAGACTGTGRGGAGCCAATGTTCTAAAGTGCTTTTTTGCATGTGCTTGAAAGATCTAGGAACATTGGTTTATCTTGGCATTTGAGCARGTTTCTTACTGCATTATTCGAACTGTAATTTGTGGCCACAGAATTCTCCCTGAAGGAAGCCTGACTTATCAAAACTTTTTTATTTTCTTCAAAAGCACTTCTGAGCTCCTACTTTAAAGAAAAGAAGAGATGGCATCCACTGAACATGAATGAGAAGAGATTAGGATATTGGCATTTACTTTATATTTTCGTGGGTTACTACTACTTTCTGGTGGCACTTAGTGACTCACCTGGATCACAGCCTTAATACACTATACAAACGAGTAGTGATGGTGGAGACTTGATAATATCTTTTACGTGTAACTGGGCAATTTATTTGTGAACTGATAAACTCAGTGAACTTGCCTGGATGTTATTTTAATTCATATCTGTAGTACTGTTTGGACAGAGACTTCTCACAAAGTACTACCGACTTATTTTTACAGTGACATGGAAAGTTATTTCATCCTGTGATGATTAGATTTTGAAAATGTTGAGAACCATACTTTCCAGTTCAGTACCATACCAGAGAAGCAGTGTCTTTAGCCAGGTACATACTGTCAGATACTTCTAGGCTGCTTCAGGTGCACARTTTTTTCACTTCAGACTTACCAATGAAACAATCTTAGATTTTTCAGTGTCTTTTAGTCAGTCATTACTAGTTTGAATGTGATTTTTTWAAAAAATGACAAACAGGCATATTATTGGTGGGACAAATTTGAAGACTTCCAAAGAGGCATAAATATTTAATCAGTTTTTATGGAATGATTAGATCAAGAAAAAACAGGGCTTGAATGAAAATTCAGTTATAGCAATACTTTATTAGTGTTGAGCTGCTTTGTGAATGTAGATGGTGATAGATCATTTTGTCATACTAGACATGTGATCTGATACGGTAATGAGATAGTAGAATGGGAGTAGAAGGTACTTGGGAATTATGAGATGCTTTATTTTCCAAAGATTTGAATATACTTTCTGCAATTATCATAAGCAATTTTTACTGCATTTTTGTATTTGCACAGATTCTGATCCACACCAAGTTCTGTGCTATGGGAATAGCACTTGGAGAAATTCTCAGTTTGAAACTTTTTAATAAGTAGTAGGATAGGAAATATTTTGTTAAATAGAGAAACATTACACAAAGTGGGTTATAACTGAAATAATTCTACTTTTATTTTATGAATTTTAAAAGATATTACATTGGTTTTGTCTCCATTTGCTCAAACTAAGAGTGCCATTAGTTGATAATTAAGTGTTTGACAACTTATTAAACAAATCACCAGACTTTTTAACCATGCTCTTCCATATTAGTCCCTCAGTGAAGGGACAAGAGATGTTTCACAACTCAAGACTGTTTCATCAGTTGAGTRTACAGATTGAAGAGGGAGTAGAACACTGGCTTGTACTCAGAGAATGTAAATAACAGGATAAATTGTGTTTGGAGTAACTGCATACTTAATTTGTTAGTCAATTTATAGAGTACATAGACTTTCTGCCATGTACCGCTCAAATGTTTTTCCTGTCAAGCACAGCTTTTGGAGCCGAAATTCCAAAAGTGCTTTTTAAATTCCTGTTTTACTGGGATAGATATGGTAGGGAAATCACGCGCCCTGGGAAACCATATGCCTTGTCTTGTTAAGCCTTTACATGTTAATCCTTTGTGTAAAATGAGGGGTAATTTATCATGCCTTGAGGTTTTTTCTTTCTTGCTCTTACTGTCTTGTGAGATTTTTTTCTGAGACCATGTCAGCGTGACAGAATCTTCCTCATTTTCATATAGACCTAACAGCCTTAACTAAAGCCTTCTCAGTGAGAGATGGGTCTGGCCTGTGCAGTAAGTGTAATACTTCAACAAGTAGAACGCTTGAAACATTTTATTCAAGTCATTTTCACATAAACTTGCAACCATAATACGGGCATGTAACAAGAATATGAAAGTGCAATGAAGAATACAAAGCTAGTGCCTGAATATTATAAATTAGAGCTCTTCAGAGAAAGATGCAAAGTTACTGAAATTAAGACTTTTTGAAGAAAAGTGAAGGAAATAATGAAAAATCTTCAAGAAAGTTGCAAAAATAAGTGGCATTTCACTGTATCTGTAGCATTTAGTTGCATAATAAAAACCTCCCAATTACATACTCTTTGGTTTTAATTCAAGTTAAAATCTTACAGCACCTTTTAGGATTTGGAGAAAATGAAAATGCCTTTTTGGCATAAATGTGAGACACAGGATAAACCACCTTTCAATGTCTCATTTATGAAAACCACCCTGCTGGTTTTGAATGAGCACACTGCAAACAATGCATGAATGACAATAGGAAAATACATTTGATATGTGCACTCATTCTGGAGCAGAGAAAAATGAGTAGACTTTTACTAACACAGAAACATCATCTACACAATATTTTGGTTCCATTGGTGACCAGTCTGTCATTTTTGTTACGCTTTTGCCTAGAAATATGCAAATATCAATTGTATTTCAGGATTAAAAAAAATACGTAACAAACCCTCTAATGAGCCTGACATACAATATGTTCCTTATGTGCAATTCTTACTTAAAAGATTTGAAATGTGGGAGCTAATTGTTACACCCACATTTTTGCCATCTGGCTTTTCAGAAATATGAGACTGCAAGACAGCAAATTCAAAGTAGAAATACCACAAAATTTAAATCTGAGATCAATGTCAATGTGCCTTTTAAAGATAATGGGAATAAGCCCAGTGTCTGATAAAATGGAATCCAAATATAATTTGCTGTAAAAATAAAAGTTTTTACCAAAACGGTTTCAAAGAATGTTTTTGAACAAAAATGCACATAATCCCAAAAATATATTCCGCAAAAATATATATGCAAAAAGTAAGGTGTCGAATCTGCAGAGCCAAGATACTGAAAATTATGGTTGGCGCTCCCCTATTTAGAACTACTTCTACACATGCTATATAATAAACTCTTCTACTGCATTTTGATTTACTATAGTTAGACAGGGTTAAAGTCACATTCCTTCATTTTTTTTTAATCCTAAAATCCCTTATTTTTCTGAATAGACTGTTCATGTCTTAGGCAATTTTTGTGCTATTTTACATCAATGTCATGTTGCTTAACACACATTTCAAAACAAATACAATATTTTKCTACGGAAAAAAAAAGCTACATTTTTGTAGCTCCA